TATCAGACTTAGAATAATATCCTCTAGGTCGTTCATGTTGTCACAAAGGGCAAGATTCCATTCTTTTTATGGCTGGGAAATATATATGTACCACTTCTTCTTTATCCATTCATTTATCATTGGACACTTAGGTTGCTTCCATATCTTGGCTATTGTAAATAATACTGCAATAAACATAGAGGTACATATGTCTTTTCAAATTAGTGTTTTGAGTTTCTTCAGATAAATACCCAGAAGTGGGATTGCTGGGTCCTTCTTTGTCTCTGGCTATAGCCTTAATTTTAAAGTCTATTTTGTCTGATATAAGTACTGCTACCCCAGCTAATTTTTTTTGTTTCCATTTGCATGAAATATCTTTTTCTATCCTTTTACTTTCAGTCTCTGTGTGTCTTTTGATCTGAAGGGATCTCTTGCAGGCATATGTATGGGTCTTGTTTTCTTATCCATTCAGCCACTCTGTATCCTTAGATTAGAGGATTTAATCCATTTACATTTAAAGTAATTATTGATAGGTATATAGTTATTGCCACTTTATTGTTCATATTTTTTATCTCTTCTCCTTCTTCTAGAAGTTCTTTAATATGTCTTATAATACTGGTTTGGTGGTGCTGAACTCCATTAGCTTTTACTTGTTTGGCAAGCTCTTTATCTGTCCTTTGATTCTAAATGACAGCCTTGCTGGATGGAGTAATCTTGGTTGTAGGTCTTTGCTTTTCATTATTTTGACTATTTCATGCCAATCCCTTCTGGCCTACGTTGTTTCTGTTGAGAAATCAGATGACATTCTTACAGGAACTCTCTTATAGGTAACTAACAGCTTTCTCTTGCTACTTTTAAGATTCCCTCTTTGCTTTTAACCTTGGACATTTTAATTTTGATGTGTCTTGATGTGAGCCTCTTTGGGTTAATCATGTTTGGAACTCTATGTTTCCTCACTTTGCATGTCTATTTCCTTCGCTAGGTTAGGGAAGTTTTTTGTCATTACTTCTTCAAATAGGTTTTCAATTCCTTGCTCCCTCTCTTCTGGTATCCCTATGATGTGAATGTTGTTATGCTTGATGTTGCCCCAGAGACCCCTTAAACTATACTCATCTCAAAATTTTTTCTTTTTGCTGTTCTGATTGGGTGTTTTCTACTACCTTGCCTTCCAAATCACTGATGCAATCCTCTGCTTCATCTAATCTGTTGATTCCCTCTAATGTATTCATTTCAGTTAATGCATTCTTAATTTCTGACTGGTTCTGTTTTTATAATGTTTTCTATCTCCATTTTTATGTTTTGTATTTCTTTGTTAAAGTTCTCACTGAGTTCATCTGCTCTTCCTGTAAGTTCATTGAGCATGAATTCTGCATCTGGTAGATTGCTTGTCTGCATTTTATTTAGTTCTTTTTCTAAAGTTTTGTTTTATTCTTTCATTTGGGACATGTTTCTTTGTCTCCTCATTTTGGCTCAATCCCTTTGTTTTTTCCTATGTATTAGGTATATTGGCTATATCACCTAGTCTTGGTAGAGTGGCTTTATGTAGTATGATCCAGGTGTGTTCCTTGTGTGGGTTGTGTGTGCCCTCAAGTTGCAGCTGAGATTTGATTGCTGTTTGTGTGTCATTGGGAGGGATTGACCTTTGAGGAATGGCCATGACTACAGCAGAAGAGCTGTTGTGAAGGGACTGATACCATGTAGCAGGATTTGTGGGAGGTTTTTTGGTTAATCCTCACCAGAGGATATTTTTTCTCATTGCTTTTTTTTTAGAGGGAGTGGAAGGGAAGGGGGGGAGAGAAAAGGAGAGAGAGAGAGAGAGAACCATTGATGTGAGAGAGGCACATTGATTGGTTGTCTTCTAAACTAGCCCTGACTGGGGCCAGGGATCAAACCTGAAACCCAGGTATGTTGATCAGGAATTGGACACATGACCCCTTGGTGTATGGACTGATGCTCTAACCACTGGGTCACAGTGGCTAGGGTGGATTTGTTGTTTTGTTTGTTTGTTTGTTTTTAAATCCTCACCGGAGGATATCTTTTCCATTGCTTTTCAAAGAGAGTGGAAAGGAGAGAGAGAGACAGAGATAGAAACATAAGTATAAGAGAGACACATCAACTGGCTGCCTCCCGCTCAGAGACTGAGCCTGCAGCCGAGGTATGTGCCCATGGGCCGACACTCTAATCAAACCAGCTAGGGTCCTTTTTTGTTTTTTTAATTGAATTTATTGGCGTGACATTTGTTAATAAAGGATTCACTTTAGCGTCCTTTGGTGCCTGCCAAGATCACCTTTTGGGTAAATCCATTTGTGGAGGTGGTTGGGTGGTGCTCTAATGTGGTCTGAAGCTGGCCACTGGGTGTGCTGGTTCTGGGGCCTCTTGGGAAGGGCTCTGTTGCAGGCCAAGATCAGCTGCTGCCTGTGCCTGGCCTGGCGCCACGTGGTATGAGCTACAAAGTGATCTGCAGTTGGTTGCTGTTTGCATTGGGCTTGGTGGTGCCCGGGAGAGGGCAGCTTAGCAAGATGTACAGGACACTGAGGCCAGACACTGATTGTTTGGGATTTGTGAACTTTTAAGAGATTTTAGGAAAGTCTGCAAGAAGAGCCAAGAGGGGTTGATTGCATGGAAAAGCCCCTGGAAGCAGCTTGGGTAGACCTAAAAGTTGAGTGAGGCAGGGTCTCAGGGAATCGTCAGGGCAAGGCAAATGGTGTTAGCCAGGTTGATGGAGACTCTGACTTGGCACCCACCTGTGCCTGCAGACTGTGTGTGTCTCTGTGTGTGTCTCAACAAAGGAACAAAATTGCGGAGAGTACTGCCGCTCCAGCACTCACTGTGAGGCCAGACCATTCAGTTCTTCCTGGTATGTCCCTGGTGCTTTTCAAGCTGCTGCCCCAGTGCTGGAGCTCAAAGCAAGTGAGTCCATCAGCAAGTAAATTCATGTCTGGCCCTTTAAGAGGACGCCTGGGACTCCAGCAGGCCTCCATCTCACTAAGCTACAATCCCTACTGATTTTCACAGCCAGAAGTTATGAGGACTACTCTTCCTAGCTCTGGAACCCTGGATTGGGGAGCCCAGTGTAGGACCCAGTGTAGAATCCTCGCTCCTCAGGGAGGACCTCTGCAGCTGAGATATCCCTTCCAATTCTTAACCACCCCACAAGGGTGTGGGGCTTGCACTGTTCCACCGTCTCCACCCCTCCTACCAGTCTTGACGTGGCTTTTTCAGTGTATCCTTAGTTATACGACTTTTGTTCAGCTAGTCTTCAGGTGGTTCCCAAGGGTGGTTGTTCTTTAGTTTATTTGTAATTTTGATGTGATGATGGGAGAAAGCAAGCACACTCTACCGCCTTGACCGGGAAGTCCTACCATGTGCTTCTTTATACTAAGCTATGTTTATAGCAATTTAAGTTGATAGTCACTTAAGTTTGAACACATTCTAAAATCACTACAATTTTTACTCACCCCCTCCATGTTCATGTTTTTTTAATGACTCTACAGTTTCAGGACAATTAATGTGGGACTCCAGTATCTGAACTTGCTATAACCCTTCTGAACCTTAGTTTGATCCCCTCAACAGGGGTGAATTGACAATCTAGGCTTGTCCTTCCCAGCACCAGACATCTTTTATCCAATCAAGGTGGCGAGAGCTGACCTCTGATCAGTAATCAAGCAAGTGTTCACTCAGTATGGTCAAAATGAAATGAACAGCTGCCCTGGGTTAGGCTGCCTGACTGCTGGCGGCAACTCCTTCAGGGTTTGCTGAAGAGTAGCAAATTTTAGAACCTTTAATTTCAAATAAAGCTCACACAAAACGAGACCAACATACAACAGAGTACACTGAGTTGTCTTTCAGAAGAGAAATCTAAGACCCTGGGATTTGAACCGAAGGTTTCAGACTCAAACCTGACCTTTGAGGACCTCAGCAGTTGTAACTTTCCTCAAATGGTCTCTCTAAGTGGGACTCAAACCCACAATCCTAGTCCTGGAAACTCCAACCCAAGTCTCTGGGGGTGGGACTCAAACACACAATCCTCAAGAGGTTTCTTTGGACAGTTTAGGCACAAGTGCATATTAGCAAGGTCACTCACCTGAAAGATGTCTGATCCAGTGGCTGTTTCTTCTCTCAAAAGTGAAAGTAAGGCCTGGAGCCCAGCAGTGGAAAAGTAGGAATCCAGCAGCTGAGCCTAGACAATCCAGTTTGGGTAGCGCTCAGGGTCAGTGTCAAGGGTCCTTGACCTACTGGGGGCTACAGTACCTCAGGCAGCAGTCACAAGAAAAGACCAAAGTCCTTTTGTAGTCACCAAAATTTTTACTGAGCAAGGACCCACTGCCTGAGTCCATTTCAACCTTGCCACAAAGGAACCAATACTCTGGCACCAGTAGTTGAGGGGGAAAAAGGGTTTTATTGCTAAGTCAACCTGCAAGGAGATAGGAGGCGAGCTCAAATCTGTCTTCCTGATCCAGGTTCAGGGTGAATGTTAAGGGGTTAGGATGTCAGGGAACAGGCTGGTTTGCGGGAGCTCTGGCAGGGCCGGTTTCAAATGGAGGGTTTTGGTATTTGATCATTTATGGTAAAGGGGCTTCAGCCCTGGATCTTCCTGGACAACAGACCCTTCGCTTCTGAAAGGGTCCTAGTGTTTAAGTTCTGGCCATGTTCTGGTACTTTGTTTTCAAGGGTACTTTTGTTCTGGGTGTAATTGGAGGTCAGAGTTCTCTCTAAGCAGGCTTGGGCTGCAGAACTTGCAATTTTAGTCTGTTGTGTCTGAAAAGCAACTTAGTATCATGTTAGAAACAGGATAGGACCAGTTTGAGCTGGTTGTGCCATTACACCTCTGTCAAATTTCAGAAATTGAACTTCTTCAAGGTCTGCCTCACCTCTGCCTGCTGTCAGAAGTACAGAACTTGGTTATTTGCAGACTTTCCAAACAGTTGACCCATTTACGACTCCCAAGGCAGGTCTTCCTAGTCTTGGGTGGGGTGAGGAGAACAGAAAACACTGCCTAGATTCTTCTTTTCTCCCCGCAGGATTCAGGAGTGAGAGTGACCAGGCGAGCCCTCCAAGAGAAAGGCCTGAAGACAGAGCCTCTCAGGAGGCTCCTTCCCAGGAGGGGCCTCCGGACAAACGCCAGGCCCATTTCAACCTTGCCGCCCAACACCAGAGCTCCTGGGGGAGGAAGCAAGGCCCCGAGGGCACCCAGGACTGTCCCCCAGGGGAAGGGGAGGTGAGCTGGCTCCCCAGGCAAGGCTAGGCCCTCAGGCCTCCTTGGCACCCCGAGATCGAGATTGAGCCACCCGCCCCGGCCCTGAGGGTGCAGTTTCCCAGACGCCACCCTGAGAACACCGGGGCCAGCGGCCCTAGCCTGCCTGGAACCTAAGGTCACAGCGCCCATCTTGCTCGCCACCTGCTCTTGCACAGTGAGCGGGCCCACCAGCACCCCACATGTGGGAAGGGCTTCGAGCACAACTCGGACACAGCCAGCGCCTGAGGACGCATCACAGCCAGGGGCCCTGGCCACGCTGGAGTGCGGGGTGGACTCGGGGCCGCAGGGCCCACCTCCTCGGGCCCCAGGGCTCCCCCTCCGGCCTGGGGCCCCGGTGTGAACGGAGGGCCCAGCACCTTTCCCACAGGCGGGGCAGAAGCAACGCCTGGGCCCAGGCTTCCACCGCCCCGCAATGCGGAGCCAACTGCCGCATCCCGCAGAGGCTCCCCGCGCGTGGACGCCCAGAGCAGCCCCGGCCCGCGCCCCCCCCCCC